GGCTGAGACTGAACACCCAACAGACGCATCATCCCGTCAGCAGCTGAAAACTAAAAATTCTGTCGGGGACACACAGCACTGTTATGGCAACTGTAAAATGCAAAGCATGAAAACGTTGCTTTTGTGGCGGGCTGCCAAAGGACATGGATAGAAAATCTGGGCCAGATGGGGTGGATTCGAGGTGCCATATTGCATCCGCTGTAGGCCATTACGACCGAGGACAAGATTCTTAGTAATTCCCACGAAAGCTCTGCATCTCACTTGGGCTGCTTCTCTCTCCCAGTATTGACGTGTGTGCTGCTGACTGAGAACCCCCCGAAAATGCATGCCATAAAAGAATTTGTGAGTTTTTGAGGGGGCCCCTGGGCATTTAATTGGCTGTTAGGCATCCACGTAGGGATCTGCATTGAGCCAGACCTTTGGTTCATCAAGGCCGGTAGCGTGAACCCTAACTAGCCCAAGGGATTCAGACAGGATTTGCTCCTAGCAGGAAGATCTCCAGAAAGACTTGGAGATCTTTGGCCATCCCTGGTGGTCTGGGTCTCCCACCTAAGTACTTACCAGGCCTGGCTGTGCTTAGCTTCCAAAATCAACAAGCCTGGCATGTACAGGATACTCTAGAGCAGTGGTGTCGAACTGTGGCCCTCCAGATGTTCTTGGCCTTCAACTCCCAGAAATCCTGGCCAGCAGAGGTGGTGGTGAAGGCTTCTGGGAGTTGAAGTCCAAGAACATCTGGAGGGCCACAATTTGACACCACTGCTCTAGAGTTACATTGAATGGGGTTCCATCTGGTTCTCCCCCCCCCGGCAGGAAAATATCTTAGGGTGGCCCCGGGCATCTCTGGAGGCCAGTTGTGTCCAAGGTCAGGTCACCTGGTTTGTTTGCCAGTTTTGCTTGGAAGGGGAAGACCGATGGAAGTTGCCTCAAAGATCACGATACCCGTTCGGGGCAAAGCACTCACATGGCTAGCTCACCGCAAATGTATTTTGAGCTCTGAGCGAAAAAAAGAAAAGCAGACTTTCCACCAGCGCAGCCTGTTCAAAATGGGCTCTTTAAGTGCATTCAGGAACAAGGGACCACAGAGAGAAAGAGAGGCATTAAATTGAGTCTGGCAGATGATAAGAAGCCACTTCCTAGGTCACGCTTAGATGAGCAAAACCAGATGCAGAGTGAAGGAGACACAAACAAATCCACACTCCTATCCGCATTAATTTATCTTGGAACAACAGCTTCATCTGTATTAATTAAATTTTTGGAACGACGGTTACCCTGCTCTCCCTGTCCATCTGGCAGCGGTGGCTAGCGACTCCAGTTTTGGGGTTGCTAGGATTCCACTTCGGGTTTTCGTTCTCTGTTGTCGTTTCTTTAAAGTGCTCTCTCCAAGGTGCTGAACGAAAAGGCCTTCTCTTGTGAAGGGCAAACTAAAACCTGGGGAAGATTTGCAGTAGTCCCGAACATGGAGTCTTATAAGACAAATGTCTGATAGTGGCTGTTTGTTGTTATCTGTCCTCAAGTCGCCTCTGGCTTAATAATAATTTTAGAACCGCAGAGGTGCAAGAGACCTGATGGATCATCAAGTCCGGCCGCTGTAAGGGAGCACAGTGGGGAATCGAACTCCCAACCTCTGGCTCTGAAGCCAGATAACTGGACCACCCATCTACCCGGCCTGTCATGATCCTATGAATGAGGGGCCTTTGGAATGTCCTGTGGTTTCCAGCTGGGTTCAGCTCTCACAGACTGAAGCCTGTGGATTCTTTATGGAGTTAGTCTGACCCATCTCTGGCCTTCCTCTTTTCCTACTGCCTTCAACTTTTTAAATGTGGGTGGCTAAGCAACTTCCGTTCTTTTTCTGTGACGAGGTGGATTTAGAAAGTGAGGGAGAGAGTTGTGTCAGGAAGGCCAGTGAGATTTCTGTTTGGATATGGTCTGTTTCAAGTCTTGCTTTGTATTGCTTGGACTGTAAGCCGCCCAGAGTCAATTCATTTGAATCTAGATGGTTGGGACAAAAGCCGAATAGATAGATAGATAGATAGATAGATAGACAGACAGACAGACAGACAGACAGACTGACTGACTGACTGACTGACTGACTGACTGACTGACTGACTGACTGACTGACTGACTGACTGACTGACTGACTGACTGACTGACTGACTGACTGACTGACTGACTGACTGACTGACTGACTGACTGACTGACTGACTGACTGACTGACTGACTGACTGACTGACTGACTGACTGACTGACTGACTGACTGACTGACTGACTGACTGACTGACTGACTGACTGACTGACTGACTGACTGACTGACTGACTGATTGATTGATTGATTGATTGATTGATTTGCGGTGAAATCTGCCAGTTCCACTTTCTTCCTGAAACACACACAACACACAACATATACACTTATATTCTTTCCCTCCCAATCAAACAGAAAACCAGCAGATTTTGGGAAATTCTTCTAAAATGATGCACACATTTAATCCAACCAAATCAAATAGGCAATGAAAATTTTACAGCGGAGAGGAACATACAGTACTTTCCTGCCATGCCGGTATTAAAAATGAGGCACAGCTTTGAAGAAAAGAAGTGGCAACCCTGATTTAACCCGGTGATAAACGGCCTGCCTAGGCAGTGATTCGGAATTCAAAACTTTTAACAACTAAGTGCTCAAAGGCATGCATCCTGAGTTGTTGTTGATGTTGTTGTTGTTGCATCTTTCAAGTTAAATCTCATTTATGGAGACTCTTTCCTTATGGAGTACCCAGAAGGGTACAGTACTTTGCCGTCCCCTTCTTCCGGGGTCCCCCTGGGATTGTACAGTTTTTGCCCAAGGCCACCTAGCTGGCTCTTCTCCCGGGAGGCCCAATGGAGCATCGAACTCCTGACCCCTGGTTCCATAGCCAGATACCTAAATCACATCCAGTGGCACATTCTTCTCAAAAACTGCTGTTTATGGAGTACCCAGAAGGGTACAGTACTTTGCCGTCCCCTTCTTCCGGGGTCCCCCTGGGATTGTACAGTTTTTGCCCAAGGCCACCTAGCTGGCTCTTCTCCCGGGAGGCCCAATGGAGCATCGAACTCCTGACCCCTGGTTCCATAGCCAGATACCTAAATCACATCCAGTGGCACATTCTTCTCAAAAACTGCTGTTCTTATGTGCCACCAAGTCACCTCCGACTTATGGAGACCCTATGAGTGTTCTCCAAAATGTCCTGTCCTCAACAGCCCACGAGTGAGCTCCTGTCACTCGTCCCAGCTCCTGCCAACCTAGCAGTTCGACAGCATGTAAAATGCGAGTAGATAAACAGGTACCACCATGGTGGGAAGGTCACGGCGTTCCGTGTCTGGCTCTTCTCCCAGGAGGCCCAATGGAGCATCAAACTCCTGACCCCTGGTTCCATGGCCAGATACCTAAAACACATCCAGTGGTACATTCTTCTCAAAAACTGCTGTTCTATTATCCTACTGTCTCTGTGTATGGTTCACGAGCTGCACAGTGGCAGAGAAAAAGGCAATTCAAAGGGTGATTAAGATGGCCCAAAACATCATTGGCTGTTCACTCCTCTCTTTGGAAGAATTGTATAAGAACAGATGTAAGAGGAAGATATCTAACATACTGAAAGACTCCTCTCATCCGGGATATCAGCTCTTTAAACTATTACCATCAGGAAGGAGATTCAGGGTATTGAAAGCAAGGACAAGCAGATTCAAGAACAGTTTTTACCCAAGTGCAGTATTGAGTTTAAATGCGGGGCCATAGGTTTTTGGTGGAATTTTAATTGCTGAGAGAAAACGGGGTATCTATATTTGGATGGTGAAAGTTGTGTATATTTTAACTTTTTTTTGTAGTGTTGTCCAGTTTTACCTTGGGGAAGAGCACCTCATTTCATTGCACCCACTTGTGAGCGCAATGACAAATAAATTTCTTATGTCTTATGTCTTATGTCTTCTTATGTGCCACCAAGTCACCTCTGACTTATGGAGACCCTATGAGTGTTCTCCAAAATGTCCTGTCCTCAACAGCCCACGAGTGAGCTCCCGTCGCTCGTCCCAGCTCCTGCCAACCTAGCAGTTCGAAAGCATGTAAAATGCGAGTAGATAAATAGGTACCACCAAGGTGGGAAGGTCACGGCGTTCCGTGTCTAGTCGCGCTGGCCACGTGACCACGGAATCTGTCTTCGGACAAATGCCGGCTCTACGGTTCGGAGAGGGGGATGAGCACCGTGCCCTAGAGTCAGACACGACTGAACTAAATGTCAAGGGGAACCTTTACCTTTACCAGCAGCCCAGCTCAGCTCTTGCAAATTCAGACCAGTGGCTTCCTTTCAGGAGTCCATTCATCTTGTATTTGGTCTTCCTCTTTTCCACAAAATCCTCACCCGTTCCTACTCACGAGGGTGGTCCTTGCTTTCTCTGTTTTGCCAGAAACCTCTGTTTCAGACCTAACAAGCGCTGCTCTTTCTTAAATTTATTTTAGAGGTCTAATATCAACCTGGCCGAACGAGAATTCGTTCCAGTCTCAGATCACATCTTGGGTAGCAAAAAGAGAATTTGTGTAACATGTTTGCGGGGGCACAAAAAAAAAGCACGCCTTTGTATGCCAGTTCTGTTGGCTGACTATTGACGAGTATTAGATAAGAGGCTTTAAAATGGAATTGCTATTTAAACAGCAAACAACTTAACACATCTTTTGCAGCTGGTATAAGGAAAATAATTTCCTGCCTGGCCTTATCAGGGTTGAAGGGTTTTTTTTCCTTCCCCCCTCCCACTTTCCGTTTCCTTTTAGTATCGTGAATTTGCAGGCAGAGAGATACTCGCCCTCCCCCGCTTTTAAGAAATACTAGCTCTTCATCTGCTCTTATTTTTCTGCTGGAGGGAGTTAACGTTAGGTTAATTAAGCACAACTTTCTCCTGCGAAGATATAACGCAGTGAACATCTGTACTTCCAGCCGCCGCCGAAGCTATAAAAAAATAATGGTGTCCTTTTGGCGGAGAACAGCCATGCGGGCTGCATCAGGTAGAAGTAATGCGGCTATTTGTGGTCTCCGCTGTATATCTTTCAGCCGTGCTCCTTTTTAAGACGGGGGGGGGGAAATATGATGCTCTTGTTTTTATGTTGTGCAGATAAGTAAAAAGAATCTAGAAGTGCAATGACTTGCATGCATCATGCTGCATGGCTGGTACACGGGAGGAAGGGGGGGGTTGCAGCCACGTAACCCAATTTTTACTTCTCCGAGAAGCTGTCTACCCACTCCCCATGAAAACTGGGCAGGTGAAGATCTGGAGAAGCGAAGAACATTAGACACCATTTTACCTTCTGGCGTCTGGATGTACTGAGGACTGGAGCGTTAAGAAGTTTGCCTGGCATGCATCTTTCCCTGTGATTAACAAAAGGCACACATTTTGCCCTGGCATCCTTGTCCTCTCTCTTTTCTACACAGACATTTGAGAAGGCAGGATGAGCATGCCAAGAGGTTTGGGGCCATTGTGGATGGCCTTCCTCTCTAACCACAAGATTTATATCTCATAAAGAATGGAGCATCTGAGTAGACCCTCTGCCCTCTTTTGGCTTCCCTGATTTCATTTGCTATTTAAGCCCAAGCCTGCCTCAGCCTCCTTGAGGGCTAGAAACTTTGATGTGACCGGTCAATGCTGAGACATCTGTCGTCCCCTTAACATTGCTTCAAGGTTGTTGTTTTTTTGCTGAATTTGATGAAACCTTTTAACCTTTGCATCATTCCATTCTTTCCCAAGAAAAAATACTCATAATTTTTCTTACCAGTGACATGTTATTGGTTTTTATTCATGGCATACCTTCCATCTCATCACGAGTAACTGTGTTCTCAGATACACGGTGTGAATTCAGCTTTCTATAGAGATAGAACTGGGATTGCATTGATTACCTTTATTTCTGTATTATGTACTGTCACTCTGGAGTCACTATTTGCTCCTTTGTTGTTAAGCACCAACAAGGCGGATCTGTTTGATGGTGACATTCATATTTTTAAAGATATGTGAGATGATCAAGAACTGATTGAACGAGTACAACCAACCCAGTGAGTTTCTATGGCTTAGTCAGGATTTGAACCCGGGTTTCTTCAGCCCTAGCCTAGCACCCTATCCACTTTTTTAAAATGTGCTTTTGAAAAATCCTCCTGTTGTACATATGCAAGCCCAGAGACAATGGCATGCACCTAAAATATCTCCCATTGTCTGCCGTGGAATAACGGCTGTTGCATGAGTCACTGCCATTGTCTACCAGCAGACAAACCATCTGAAGCCTGCTACGAGCAATATGCTCTTTTGAAGCCTGCCCTTTACATACCAGGAATATATAAAGAGTTCACAAGAGTTCATTCTTTCAGCTACTACCAGCTGGGGAATTCTGGGAGTTGTAGTTAAAAAAAAGGAACATGGACCTGGTTTCCATCATTAGCATCTGTGACATAACAAGGATGGCTTGCTTGTTTTATTTGTCAAATACCTCTATTCTCAAAATCAGTCAATCCCAGCCAATAGTACATATAATACTAGTGGAACCTAATTCAGATAGGAAACATGGTTTTCAAGAACATTGTTAAAAATTAACTTTTTCATAACATTCCTATATGTATTCTCCTACCATACCTGCCATGAACCCATTTCTGTGCCTTTTAAGCATGCTAGTGGTAACTTTGGATGCTGCATGTTTCTCCTGGTTCCCCATCCGTGAACTTACTGCAAATGTCAGATAGAGTGGCCAGAATCTTAGTACGTACATATGCCAGCATAAATTAAGCAGCATGAAATGCAGTGGTGAACTGCTTCTTGTAGCAAAGCTGTTGATGCTTGCATTCCTGGCCATACACCAGTCATGAGACTAAGCACGCCGTAGGGAATGCAAGCATCGACTTCTTAACTATTCTCCACTGAGATTTAAGTCATTGGAATTACACCAGTGTACTTAACTAATAAGATTCTAGCTGAGAACAAAACATCATCAAATGTAAAGATGTCCTTCTTGGGAACAGTGGGCTTTTTCATTTCTCTCGTGGTGGGACACAGGTTCTTTAATGGAGAGATTACTGAGAAATTAGATATGGAAGAGGGATGGAACCATTACTCAGGAGAGTTTGGTGGGATATTCACTGGGGTCATGATGCTTTCTTTCATCCCACTAGGTCAACAGCCATGGGCTCGGTTGGGGGAGACCACTTCAAGGACATCAGCCCCGTGGTGACTCCTGAAGGGAACGTCGTGATGAGTTTCAGCTTTGACAGCTACCAACTGGAAGAAGAGGAGCTGCAGGCTAAGGGGTGCCAAGCCAAAGGAGTTCTCACCTTCATGGAGCCAGGTGAGGGTTCCGGAACTGGGGCTTAGAGATGTCTCCATGGATGTCTCACAAATACAGTGGTGCCCCGCATAGCGACGTTAATCTGTTCCAGGATTAACGTCGCTATCCGGATTCCTCACTATGCGGGGGGGGGAACCCATAGGAACACATTAAACTCTGTTTAATGCATTCCTATTGGGGAAAAACTCACCACTATGCAGGGAATCCTCCAACTGGCTGCCATTTTTGCCGCCCGGTAAGCGAGGGCAGGGCACGAAAATGCTTCAGGCAGCCATTTTGTTGACCCGGTGGCCATTTTGGAACTGCCAATCAGCTGTTTGTAAAACATCGCAATGTGAAGATCGGTAAGCGAAACGCTTACCGATCATCGCAATGCGATGTTTTCCCTATCTAAAACATCACAATGCAATCGCAAAAAATGTGTCGCTATGCGGATTTGTCGTTAAACGGTGCACTCTTTAAGCAAGACACCACTGTATTGTTGTTTTTAGGGATGGTTACTAAGTTACTTTGGAACATTGGCTCTCAACTCATGATACACGCCCCACCAGCGGGTTGCAGAAGTCAAGAAGTCAAGACGGGATGCTGGGTTTTCATAACAATTGCAAAAAAAATAAATAAATAAACCTAGGTCAATTCCCTACATCCTTAACTGGAAGTTGATTTGTTAAGGAGCCTCATGGCGCAGTGGTTAAATTGCAGTACTGCAGTCAAGACTCTGCTTACGAGTTCGACCCTGATAGGCTGAAGTACATGGCTCAACATTAACCCAACCTTCTGAGGTTGCTAAATTGTGTACCTAACTCACTGGGCGGGGGCACAAACTGTAGCCTGCATAATTAATTTGTGAACCTGGCCTTAATCCACTCTTCAGGTTTCTCCCACTGGTACCGTCTGTTGAAAACAAACCACTCAAGGGTGCAATACCTAGATGCACTTACTTTTGCCCCCTTGAGAACTGCTTTCACAGAACTCCGCTTCCAAACCATGCCAACCGCTGTCTTAGAATGTCCCTAAACATCTAAGGCTGTGCATCTGCGGAGCAGGTGAGATAGAGGATGTTCTCCATCATCTACTCTATTGTCAGCTACGTATATCAGAACCCTCGAGAAAAGCTCCTGGGTAACGTTCTGGCTGCTCTACAGGAGGAAACCCCTCAGATAAAGGTGGTCAGGTTACTCTTGGACTGTGACCCATATGTTACGTATAGAACAGCGCTATTCGCAAAAGCGGCCAGAAACATTCAGGCTAATTTTGTGAAAGCCATTGCGATCAATTATGTGGGAGATTCTCAGATATGAGGGGTCTCTTATTATTTTATTTGTCTGTGGTTTTTATCATGATTTTAATTGACCATATCTGTATTTTAAACAATTGTGACGGCTTTTAGCTAATACAATAAACTTGAACTGGTAACTGGTAATTTGTGAACTGCCCAGAAACTGCTATAAATGCCATGGGGCAGTATATAAGCAGCACACTTTTCTTTTGTATCCTTTAATTAATTAATGGGGTTATCAACCATTCTGATAATGGAACTATTATCTTTCTTGGTGGTTTTGACTGAGGAAAAGAAGGAGCCTGCCCTGCCCAGATTAGGTATCTCATGTCTGTCTTCTGGTTTAGATCTCTTGTGGTTGTGATGTGTCACAAAATTGTGTCTGATTTTCAATGACCCTAACAGAGTTTTTGGAGGTATGTGAGCTGCTCGGGACCAAGTCCACCATGCTCCCCACCCAAGGAGTGTCCATGGCTCAGCAGGGATTTGAACTCGGGGCTCCTGTATCCTCCTAATCCAACAATCTATCCTCTACACACCACAGTGGCTCTCTGAAGTCACAGAACTGTTGGGGTTCCTTTCCTGTTTGGACTGGTTAGTGTTTTAAAGGCATCTTGCCCAGCTAAAATATGGAAGGGTCATTTTCTGCTCCTGGACATTCCATTACCACTATTACCACCATGAAAAACAACCACCAGGAAACCAGTGAAAATACTTTTACCAAAATATATAAATCCATGCGTTATGCAGTCTGTTTTACTCTTAAGGGCAGAAGAATTGCTGCTCCCCAGCCATCCAAAGACATCAGCCATGATATACATTACAACTAGTATACTGTTCATTCTAGAGAACCATCTTTTAGGTCAGATGTTCCTCCATGACAATAGTTACATCTCTTTTGTCCCTCTGTTTCCAAAGAGATCACTGAGTTGGTCTGTTCTTTGGCGTGCGGTCGGGAAATGAAAACCAAGATGAAGCCCAATACGGTGCAACTCCTTACAGATCTATGCCTTACTAGATTTGGCTCCTATGATTTGTTAGTAGGACCAGGGGTTCTACAGCTTGGTCAAGCATATAGCTTTGGAACAGCAATTATAGATATTATGACGACAAACCAGTGGCGCTACCTAAGGCTTCAGCCTGGCATGGCCATCTTCCCACTGGATGACAGTATCTGCGGAGCCGCCTTTACCAAAGGCAAAAAACAAAACAAAAACAAAACCCTTATTGGCATGCTTTCAATGAGGCCTCTGCCCAGCCGCTCTGCCCCGCGGCCCCTCCGTGTGCCAGTTGGCTTTTCCTTCCTCTGCATCACGTTGTTTGGCTTCTGTGTTGCCCAGCGAAGACCTGGTGTTTAAGTACCTCCTGGGTATCCACTAAAAGCCTGCAATTTGCAGGAGGGAATTTAATCAGGCTGGTATTTATTATATGCCATGCGCTGGCCCTCCAGGCCCTCCTCAACCTTCCATTTGTGAACACGAATGCCAGCTTTTTAAAAATTAAGTCTTTAAACGGGCGGTTAAATCACCTCTTTGCAAGCTATAATCAGAAAGCAGTAGTTAGCTGCTCCTTAGCATCCTCCAGTCCCATCCTAGCATCAGGGAAGGTCCTTTCTGGAACTACAACGCTCACATGTGTCCTACGCCAGGGGATTCTGAGACTTCTCGGGCAAACCAGTGAGCCATTCCAAGCTCTGTTAAGAAACCGGCAGCTCTGCTTTCATGGCACCTGCTATGGCTCTATTGCCCTCGTGAAGGCTCTAATCCTGGCTGCATGCACTTGCAACACATACTTGTTCACTCCGTTGAGCAGAGTGGGAGCAAGACTGCAGTTAAACCATTTAAAACCTTTTGCTAGACCTTTGTTAGATCATCAGTGGGTTCCTTCCTAGCAATGGCTTTTTTTTTCTGCGAAGTTGCAGAGATGGGAGACAGCTTGAGTAAGGACCAGGAAAACCTAGAGTGGAAGTTTTAGATGACTGCATCAAAAGGGTCTGGATGCAGGCCCTTGAGGGCAACGAATCTGCTACGCAGGGGTCTCAAACATGCGGCCCGGGGGCCATTTGCGGCCCGCTGGATGATAATTTGTGGCCCCTGCCTTGCATGCCCCCCCAAACCGCCCGCATGCCCTCTGCTGTCAAGAGTAAAAAAAAGCCTCACCTTGCTCGCCAGCTCTCTCCCAAGATAGCACATCTTGCACCCCCCATCCGGAATTGCAGCCTGCCAGCCAGCCCGCCTCTCTACTGGCTAAGGAAACTCCTTGGGCTCTTGCTCCCCTTGGTGGAAAATCTGAGGCGGCCCAGCCTCACCCAGACTCTGCCTCCAGTGGCCCCCAGGTAAATTGAGTTCGAGACCCCTGTGCTACTGGTTTTAGCCTTAAACCTGCAGGAGCTATCCATGGTGCTGAAATTTATGCCTCCAGGAGACCAAATTGTGACTAGCTGTGGCTGAAATCCTGTCGCACTGCTAAGCAGAAGGTGCAGTCTTTGAAGGCAAACTGCCTCAGATGAAGAAATGCATCTGCACATATTATCTGCTGCATGTTGAGTTGCGCCACTCAGCAGGCAACAGACAATGTCTACGGAGATTTCTTAACTTGAAACAATTGGCCTCCCAAAGTTACGCGTTTTGCTCAGCAGCACAACAGGATTTCAGCCACAGTGTAATAAATACAGGGTTTCTGTGGTTCTGCTAGTGCTGCCTAAAATATTTGTGTTTTCTAAGTGTGAAATGGCCCTGTTACTCCTGCTGATGCCTGCAAATAATACAACCCCTAATGAGGCTTCCAACTAGGGGTGTGCATCTTGGCTTAATTTGTACTTGCGAGTGAGAATTAAAATTTTCAAAACCTTTCTCCCCACTGGACAAGACTGCGAAAGTTTCTCTCCCTTTTTTTTCCCATTTTGGGACTAATCCCCCCCAAATGCATGGAAGTGATTCCCCACCCCTTTTAAAAACATCAAGGTTTGCACAAAAGAATGCCGAGATTTCTAATGCAAAGCCATTTTTTGTGACCATCTTTTTTCAAAAAATGCTTCCTGCCGTTTTAAAAGAAATGCACTGATCTTTTCACCTTTGTGCTGACGCGAGGAATCTCAAAGCAGGGAACAAGATTTTTTGATGAGGCATCTCAGTGTGTTGAGACAGTCCCCCTTTTTTGACAAGGACAAGAGGATTTTTGGCAAGTGTTCATCTTAACCTTGGATGTCCTGATAATGCCTGAAAACCCCTGCTTCCTTATGGGGGAACCAAGTTACTCTCGGTCTTTGTAATGTCTGGGAATACTTGTGCCTTGATAAGTGCCGGGCAGCCCAATTACCAGGCCTGGCATGGCCTTGTTTTCCTTCAAACAGAGACACTGGTAGAATTTGTAATTATGTTGTTCTGCAACGTGGGCTCGCTTGCTTCGTGAGGTTGGGCTGTATTATGGATGGATTGTCATTTCCCTTGGAATTTCAGCTTCGAATTTCAATTGAGACCCTTAGCCTATACTGCTTACAAAACACTACAGCACTTTGTGAACCAAAGAGCCCAAATCACCTATTTGGCTGCTATTTCAGAAAATCTTATTTTTCACGTGTCATTCACCGCAGCAAGTCTCATAGGGTTGCAATATATATGAGCGCATAGCCCAGTGGTTTAGGGCCAGGGGTTGGAGTTCGATTCCCCCACTGGGGCTCCTTGATCGGAGCTGCGCTTGACGATTCTCAGGATCCATTCCAGCTCTGCAGCATTAGGATTATTATTATCAACGAGGAATTGAAGCAGTTCTGTGTTCTAGTAATTTAAAAAAAAAATCCCACCCAAAACAAAGTTTGAAACCTGTGTCTCTCACTTGATATTTTGATGTGCTGTGATGTTTTGTAGATTTTTTGGCAGGCGCATGTCAGCTCTGTTAGGTCAGACGGCTTCGCTGCAAGATAGCAGACCAGAATTTGGAACAATCTCCCCTCCGAGATCCGTTTGGCTCCCTCGCTGGGCATTTTCAAAAACCAACTTAAAACCTGGCTTTTTAGGCAGGCCTTCCCTCCGGGCACCACTTAATTTATCTTTGATTCCCCATCTTGCATGTCTGTTCATTGTTAAATTGTTGTGAAATTGTATTTATATGTCAATTGTTGTTATTTTATCTATTGTGAGCCACCCAGAGTAGACAATGTCTCGATGGGCAGCATATAAGTCTAATGAATGAATGAATGAATGAATGAATGAATGAATGAATGAATGAAATAAATAAATAAATAAATAAATAAATAATATAAAAGATAGCTGCCTACAACTGATCACAAAAGAGATCAGTGCATGTCCATTGCAACTTTAGCCTATGATTTTAATAGCATGCCATCAGGTTGATCCTGACTCATGGCAACCCTGTCAGATATTCAGCACTCAGAAGTGGCTTACCAGTCTCTCCTTCTGGTCCTGCTCTGGGGCCACTGTGTAGTTTCCTGGAAGAGATGCATGTGGCAAAGCATGCCACACACATTCCTGGTGCTACTGGCCAGCTTCTCTCCTAAAATGCACAGTGAGGATTCGAACTCCCAACCTTGATTCTACAGCTAGGTGAACTTTACCCTAACCAGGCTGCAATTCCTGGTGTGTAGCACCATCAATGCTTGTGTGCCACCATTACAAACCAAGAGAGAATTATTAGGATGTTGACAAGCCTTTTCTACTACTCATTGAAATACACCTTATAAATATTAAGCCAGTTCCGAGTAAAGGAGATCTTACTCGTCATTGGCTTTAAATTTAAACACTTGTATAATAATGACAACAGGAAATTCTTGGTCTGTCATAAAAGAATGCTATATCAACACCTGCAGGGTCATCCTATCCAGTCCTTTTAATTGTAAACCTGCTTCTTCCTCTTTCTTTCGGCCTGCAGTCTGTGAAGACCCCAAACCCCAGGATCGCTACCACGGCATTTATTTTGCTATGCTGCTAGCAGGAGTCGGCTTTCTCTTGCCTTACAACAGCTTCATTACAGATGTGGATTACCTTCATCACAAGTACCCGGGTAAGTTTGCTCAATGTTCTTTGAAACACCAGAGAGGTCAATTTCAGCTGGATTGCATTGTTTTGGTGCCACTTATCCACCATATTACAGTTAGACATTACACGCACACAGAGATACAGAAATAGATTTTTTTTAAAAAAAAAATCAAAAAGCATAGGTGAATCAAAGTGGAGCATTTTTAAGGCCATTGATGCTCTGGTGGGAGGGGCTTAAAAGTGCTAAGTTGAACACAAGCCGGGGGTGTGTTGCGTCGGCTGAAAAGGCTAATACAGTCTAGTCTAATGGTAATTTGCCAAAGAGGGGAAGTGAGAAGAGCTTTCACTGGGGCAGTCCTATGCTTTCTACAGTTAAGGAATTTCCTATTGTAATGACCAGTTGTCTGCAACAGATTACCTGGCAGCCCTTGTTCTGGTGAACAGGCTTTGCATATTGTTTTTTTTTTAATCCTTCATAATTGATTTGACTGGAGATAGCTGGTAAACGAAAGAAATACAGGGCATGCAACACCTCCATCATCATATTCCCGATCTGTCTATCTCTAGCCTCATTCTGATCGTTGCTGTTTTCCTGCAGGAACCTCTATCGTCTTTGATATGAGCCTTACCTACATCTTGGTAGCATTGGTAGCTGTCATCCTGAACAACGCCCTGGTAGAAATGCTGAGCCTCCACACCAGAATCACCGTGGGTAAGCCCAAGGACCCCCCTGCTCCCCTCACACCACCTATTTGCACGTGCCTATTCTTGTTTGTTTGTTTATTCCATTTATACCCTCCCTTACTCTAGGTAGTGCATCTCTCTGTTTGTCTCACAACAGCCCTGTAAGGTAGAGCAGACAGAGATGGAAATATAATCCAAGACCACCCAAGTGTGAGCCTTAGGGCAGAGTAGGGGAGATGAACATCTGCTTTGTTACAGCTGCTCCAATTGCTATTAGTCATAAAATGAAACGCAAGAGCAGATCATGATAAGTATATGGGATGTTGAAGTTCTTTTGACACTTGGGGCTGTATCCAATGCTAGCAGAACCCTGTGGTTCATAAAACACACAACTCATTCATTTTCTCTCTTGTCCCTCCTTAAATCCAGGGTACCTCTTTGCTCTCGGCCCGCTTCTTTTCGTCAGCATCTGTGACGTCTGGTTAGACCTTTTCACCCGGCGGCAAGCTTACGCCATCAACCTCATTGCGGTGGGCGTGGTGGCTTTTGGTTGCACAGGTATGTGTGGGAATGAGTGCACAGTCACTCTAGATGGGAAGATTCACCTTTGCTGGGAACAGAGACTTCTCTCCCAAGGACCATTATAGACAACCTGTTATTAGAAGGAGGAATCCATTATGTGCTGAGACTATCTAATCGTCACAGAGGAAACTTTTTGGGAAGTTTTCAAATTAGCTTATGACTGGTCCTTAGGATGCTCGCCCTGTCATAGTTTAATGTGGAATCTAGCTGTTTCTGGCGTAATAACTGGCTTGTCTTGCTTTTATATTTCTGTCTCCCCTTTGAAGTGCAGCAATCCAGTTTCTACGGCTACACCGGGATGTTGCCGAAGCGCTATACTCAGGGAGTGATGACTGGCGAGAGTGAGTATGCCCCAAAGCTTAGAAGCCACTTCTTTTTAAAAAAAGGAATTTGTCATGTTCACCAGATTCAGACAAACCTTGAATTCTGAACTGAATTGGTTTGATTCCAATTAATTTGTAGAAGGTGCAGTTTTATGCCAGGCGGTCAGCTCCAGTTACCGGGCAAGGTGAGACAAACTTACAAATCAGTATGAATCTGTGGCCCAAATCAAAGTGAACTGCTTTAGCCTATTACATTTTTAATGGCAAATTTTAAAGTTCCCTGGTATACAACCATTAAAACTAGCTATGTGAAACTCAAGAGGTTTAATCATCTCGTTAGCATCTATAATGGCAATGAATTTCATACATATCACCATGAAAAGAAAAACATTATTCCCATCATTGGGTTTTCCAGCACAGCAATTTTGCAAATGTACAAATCGGTGTAAATATGGTACATAAATTGAATTGGATAGGAAACAGATTGTGTGCTAACAAATCACAGGAAATACTGTCTGGTTCCCTCTAGTGAGCAACTCTGACAATGCACTTGGGGGGTGACTGAGAGGTGAAACACAGCAATATTTTGCCTGCCACTTAGATTTGGGAAGAGAAGGGTATAAAACTTGAATTCCCCCTAAAAGATATCTCAAACTGTCCTTTAAAAGAAACTTTTAAAATTAATTAGAAAATGTTACTCAGAAGTAATTTTGTAATGGCTTATTAAGTTACTTTGGAGTGTAACTTAGATAAACACTACAACTGTAACTATGTTACCTGTAATTAGTTACTACCAAACTGCCTGTTGGCTCAGCTCACCAAAAATTCATGCTATGCCAGGAGAACTATTACTGATCTCATCCATCATAATCATCCATTTTCATACTTAGCTCCGTGGTTTAGGTCTCTGGCTGGTCGGGGGTTTGATTCCCCCGTGGAGCCTCCATCATCCATTGGGTCCCTTCCAGCTCTGCAGTTCTAAGAGGATGATGAATTATTTGCCCAAACGTGACTTGAAGGAGAGCTGCAGAATTGACTGGGAAACAACCTTGTGTGTCGGGACAGTGAGAAACACTCCCTGTTGACCATTACCCACTCAAATTATATAAGTTAATTGCCATGCCCAAGGGCAAAAAAAAAAAAACACGTGAAGCCTTCTCTGTATCCAGGAGCGTCCTGGCTCAGCTTTTCAACACCTGAGATGGAAGATATGGTGAATCTTCTGTTATTTTGGCTTCCCCTAATATAGGTTGCCTTTCTCGTAATTGGAGTCAACAGCCATTGGATCTGACGAGAGTTTTTGGTTTCCATAGCACTTAAACAGAATAGCGAGGGCAGATGGTACCAAGCTGGCGGATTTGTTCTCTGTGCATGTCGAGCTACGAGATGACAGCTGGGACGTGCCCTTGAATACACAGCCTGGCCGTCAGAATTGGCCCATCAAATGGGCATCTTCTCTTACCTGTTTGGTTGGCCTAGTGCTGGAAGCAGGCGGGGGACAGAACATTAATTCAATTCTTTTAAAAAGAATTTGGTTTACGGATTGGGATATTATGGATTAGGAATGTGGGATATGGTGCTTCTGCACCCACGATTCCAAAAACCTAGGAAATCACTTTGGATTAAAAGGTTATTTTCAAAATGTTCATTCTTTCAATGCCACATTTGGCTTGTCCCTCTGTTGATGCCAAAGTCACCCCTCTAAAGTTACCGCGTCATTTCTAAGCTGTGCTTTTTATTTTAAATAGACATCTCCGTACCAGAAGGACAAACAGAGGCTCACATCCCAAAATAAAGTGAGGACGGGAAGGAAAATTCTGAGATTCATAGAAATCCAACCATAAAATCATAGAATAATTGAGTTGTAAGGGGCCTATAAGACCATCGCGTCTGATCCCCTGCTCAAGGCAGGAATCAAAATCAAAGCCAATCTGACAAAGGGTTGCCCAATTTTCTTTTGAATGCCTCCAGCGTTGGAGCGCTCGCCACCTCTTGAGGTCCTTGGTTCCATTGTCGTACTGCTCTAACAGTTCGGAAGTTTTTCCTGATCTTCAACCTTAATCTGGCTTCCTATAGCTTGAGCCCATTGTTGCATGTCCTGCATTTAGGGATGATGGAGACCAGATCCTGTCCTTCCTCTGTATGACTCAGATTAGATTAGGCATCCTTCAGTCTCGAGAGACTATGGTAACGTGCTCTGTATGGAGGTCTTGAAACAGCATCTAGTGTGTCTGAGGAGGCCAATTCGAGAGTGACAGTCCCTTCCACACTGAAGACAAATCCAATCTGTCCCCTGTCCAGCTCCCTGGTTTTGCTTGTTTCGGGACTGCCTCTTTGCCTCAGCCTGCTGGACGAGGGTCTCTTCAAAATGGGAGAGGCCGTGATGCAATGCCTGCCTCCAGGCTGAACGCTCAGAGGTCAAGTTTTCCCATCTGTTGAGGTCCATTCCTAAGGCCTTCAGATCCTGCTTGCAGATCTCCTTGTATCACACCTGTGGTCTCCCTCTGGGGCGATTTCCCTGCACTCATTCTCCATACAGGAGATCCTTTGGAATCCGGCCATCAGCCATTATATGACTACCTTGCAAGTATTTGAAAAGTGCCATCATATTTCCTCTCAGTATTTCTGAGAGCAATACATGCTTAGTTCTTTCAGTCATTCCTCATAGGGCCGATGATGACTGAGAGGTACCCACTCCCCTCATTGTACAGCAGATGATGGCCAGGAGGTCAGGCAGATCCCTTTCAATCTCTCCTCTTCTGCTTTTGCTTCCAGGCACGGCCGGCGTCATCATCTCTCTGAGCCGTATCTTCACCAAACTCCTGCTGTCGGATGAGAAGGAAAACACCATCATCTTTTTCTTCATCTCCATCAGCCTGGAACTCACCTGCTTTGTCCTCCACCTGCTGGTGAAGCGGACCCACTTTGTGAAGTATTACACGGCTCGCTCCCGGGATGGGGCCCCCGATTTCAAAGGGAGCCTGGACCATGGGACCGGGTATCGGGTTCATCACGACGTCACCGCAGAGGACATCCAATTCGTAAGTGGGCTTTCAGGGGTCCAGAGCCAGCCAGCTTTGGTGGTTGATGGGCGGCAGCAAGAGATATATAATGCTTTATTTTAATGTTTGAATACTTTTTTAAAAAGCCAGAGAATAAGAACAAAAATGTCAAACAGCTCATGGAGAACATTCCAGTCTTGTGGGTTTGGGGGTTTTGGAAGCAAAGGTGAATTATGATGACCTGTGTCCAATTGTTCATCAAATTAAGAACAGACACAATTCAAGAGTCCATGAACTGCTGGATAGCACAGTGGTTTAGGGGCATCTGGCTGTGGAGCCAGAGGTTGGGAGGTTCAGTTCCCCACCGTGCCTTCTCGTCAGGGGCTGGACTTGATGATCCACAGAGTCCCTTCCAGCTCTGCACTTCTGTTCATTCCGAAGGGCAAATCAACACTTTTGTGCAACCTATTGACTCAATGGGTCTACTCTAGTTGAGACGAGCCAGCGGATACTGTCTGCAAGTCCTTGTTTGGGGAGGGAATGGGTGCTCTCTGCTGGTCCGTGCTGGCAATGCAATCTAAGCTGTGTCAACAACAACAAACAAAAAAATCCCACAAGAAGCGATCCCTTTCAGGGATCCAGGACCACCAAGATTTTAAAAAGAGGATAAAAGATGAGGTGAAAGGGGCTTGGCAAGTATCCAGTCCCACTTCAGAGAATTCACAGTCCATTGTCTTCTGTTTTTTTGCTTTTGGCTGGTGTCGAGCAATGTGGCCAGCCCTCCTTTTCACAGTCCATTGTCTTCTGGGATGGATGGATGGAGGGATGGATGGATGGAAGGACGGATGGACGGACGGACGGACGGTTCTGTCTGTGTTGTGATTCTACCAAGGTGGATGGCTGATGTGGGTTCCATCTTTCCTTCTCCCCCAGGAGAATCGGACCCACGGGCAGGAAGGATCCCCTCCCAACGCTTTTGGGCAGGAAGGCGAACTGGCCGGCAGCGGGACCTACATGCGCTTCGACGTCCCACGGCCCCAAATCAAGCGCAGCTGGCCCGGCTTCCGAGGTAGCAGCAAGAGAAGACACAGCTTGGAAAATTCATCCTGGGCGATGTCAAGTTTGTAGTCTTCACATGTTGGGTTACGACACCCCTGTGAAGTGAGTGGGTGGTTCTCATTGTCGTAGACCTGAGATGGGCAACTGGTTCTGGACTACAATTCCCATGATGCTCAGCATTGGCTAGGGCAATGCTGGCCAAGTCTGATGGGTGTTACAGCCCACACAACATCTGGAAGGAGAAAAGTCCAACGATTTTGTAGACCAAGGGTGTGTGGCAGAGTTTTTAATTCCTGCTCAAATTCTCATTTTGCAGTGCAGTAGAAGTACAGAGATTCACAGAGGAGAATAGCTACAAGCTCCTCAGACAGTCCACCCCTTTCTCATTAACTGGTCATAAGCTAACATTTCTCACCACTGCTATGCCAGTAGGAGAATCGCAATGCGCCTGTGGTTTTGAACCCATAGGGTACCTCTAGAATTAGGGCTTAGATAATTGACTCCCCTCCTCATCACTGTACAGATATGATGCTGCATCGCTACATCGTCTCCCGAGTGATCTGGGCCTATATGCTGTCCATCGCGGTGAGCTACTTCATCACACTGTGCCTCTTTCCTGGACTGGAATCAGAGATCCGGAACTGCACCCTCGGGGAGTGGCTCCCTATTCTTATCATGGCCATCTTCAACCTTTCGGACTTTGTGGGCAAGGTAGGAAGAGCGTCCAACTCCGTCAGACGTCAGGTTTCTTCCATAAGAAAGACGTTACTTTCTTGTTAGGAAAATGAGTGGGCTTATAATCCTGAAACACCATAAACCCTACAGGAGATCCTCCCATGGACTATAGGGGATGAAGCCTACCGAATCCCAGGAATAGCAATACAGAAATCAGCACCAAGAATTATCAGAGCTCTATTAAATAAGCCAAATGGAACAATTTCCCCCTAGTTTTGTTCCATTTTCCAACAGAGTAGATCCAGGTCTCTTCTATCAAAGAAGCTCCTCTCACCCAGGGGCTGGATTTGGTGTCAGACTAACACTCGGGGCTCAATCTCACTGTTGGGCAGAACCAAAAACATCAGCTTATTTCAGTTGGGAGCTCTTACTAAGCCTCAAAAGAAGTAACGTTTTATCACTGGGAAGAGACCCAGCATCCTTTAGGAACCACGAAATAATGCCAGTGTAGGCAGAGGGTGAGCTAGGCAAGAAGGTCCAACTGGGACCCCAGGAGAGACAGATTCTGCCCGGGTCCTGTTCTACATTCATATGGTTGAAGCAGGAAGGGCTGGTAATGACTCCAGGTTCAGGAGTGCCGGGAATCCATGCCAAGTTTTAGTTTCCGCTTCTGAGGAGCTCTCCAAGGTGCTGACCTCTGCTGTCAAACTGGGTTGACCTCCCTTGGATGACTCCTACAAAGAGTAGAGTAAGACCTGAAGTTGGAGCCGCCAGTGCCACTGGATTGAAGACCCTAAGCACAAAACTGGATCTGTGCAATAATGATACCCTATTTTCTCTCTCTCTCTCTCAACAGATCTTGGCTGCCTTGCCTTATGACTGGAGGGGGACCCACCTTCTAATCTATTCTTGCCTGAGAGTGGTTTTCATTCCCCTGTTCATCATGTGCGTCTACCCCAACGGGAAGCCCACCTTCAGCCACCCAGCCTGGCCTTGCGTCTTTTCCCTCCTCATGGGCATCACCAACGGTTACTTCGGCAGCGTCCCCATGATCTTGGCAGCGGGCAAAGTGAGCCCTGAGCAGCGAGAACTGGCGGGTAAGCAGATCGTCCCACGGGAGAGGGTCACCCAAAAGAAGGCACTCGCACGGCATGGAAAGAGGTTGACCAAGTAGCCACAGGGAAGCCAAGAGATCATCTAGTCTGGTCTTCTGCCGTGTAGAAAACTCATCGCTAAGGTGTCCATGACAGCTGGATAGCCCTCCAGCTGTCTGTTTAAAACTTTTGAAATCATTTAATAGTCACTTTTTGTTGCACATTTCTACAAATTCATTTAAGATTGAATTGAATTAAAAACCGAGCTCGGTCAATGGAAGGAGGGCTGTGGGTGATGTAGTCAGGAAGAGCTGTGTGATGCAAAGGTCTTAATAGTGTTAATAGTGACGCTGTTGTACAGCGAAGACTCGAGACTCAAGAGAGCAAACTGCAGGATGGCTCAGTGGCTTAAGGCTTGGGTTGGGAGTTCGATTCCCCTACTGGTTCTCCTTGGCAGGGGCTGGACTGGATGATCCGTAGGGTCCCTTCCAGCTCTAAGATGATGACAATAAGATTTACCCATGAATGGACTATCTGTCTCCTCCTCTCTTTTCCCAGGGAACACCATGACCGTGTCCTACATGACGGGGCTCACTCTGGGCTCTGCCGTGGCCTATTTCGCCTACAGTCTCACCAGGACCTCCCACAGCACCTGCTTCCACACGGAGACCTACAACGGTACTATCACAGCCGGCTACTGAACGAGGCATCCACCCCCCACCTCCCATGGATGGTGTCCAGTCTGTCGGACGAGCCGGAGTGAGAGGGCCCCGGGGAACGAACCCTCCACCAGGAGCAACCTTGTCCCAGAGACATTTGGGTGGAAAATCCCAAAAACACACACACACAAAAAAATCCCCCACCTCACCCGCTTCCCTGCTCAGTTATCACAAAGGACACTAAATCCACACAGGAGGTTCGCCTTTATAACTCTCGTTCTGGTGGGACGCGCCTGTTTGGGCCCGCTGGGCTTGTGTAGGATCTCATTTCCCACGATTCCTTTCCATGGGCCAGATCCAACGGTCGACCCCATACTGCCATAGTATATTCCAGCATTATTGTCTTTACTGGCATGCACGTCTGCCATCTTGAGGCAGCCATCTTGAGGCAGCCATCTTGAGGCAGCCCCTTTTCCCACAGCCAGCGTTGCTGTTGCTGCGCTTTGGGTCTTTTTTGGGGTTTTTTGACCACCTCATGTTGTCATTGGGTGGGGGAACCCACAGAATGTTAACACTCTTGCCCCCCCACCAACCATGATGGTGTGAATTCACCACCACCGCCATCATCTCCTTCTGCCCTGGGGCAGCTATCACCAAACACAGCATCAGGCCAGCTGGCTTTTACATATAGACTGTATAGTGTATGTTTGTTGGAAAGGGCCATGGAAACAGGCACCCTAGAAGCTTTAATCCCAAAGGTGGCTCTTTTTCTTAGAATTTCCTCTGGGTTTTAAAGAGGTTTTGAAGGGGATCTTTGAGGTGAGACTGGATGCACTCAAACAGCTTTGTTAATAAAATGTCATTTCCCCTGAAGCTGCTCTTGGCTTAATTGGTCTCGTCGCTTCCGCGCCACATTTCATCACATCTGAGAGTTGCTGAATTAAAATTAAAACAGAGGTGAATCTGTTTTGCATTCCGGAATGAGTGGAAGAGCCGATGACATGATTCAGCTTTGCCTCGATTCCACCGTTCCAAGTTTCAGGCTAAGATTTTTATTTTTCTCCCCCGAATGTCCCTCGGCTTAAAATCAGCCCTGCTTCTGGGTGCGTGGAAAGCTTGCTTCTCAGAAACGGGGAGGTCCCATCTGATAGAGAGCTTAGACATAAATTTATTCTCTCCCCACCCGACCACCACCCCTCATCTCTCTTTGGCCATTTATACGTGCTATAGTCCAGAGCATGATAAAATTATTTCTTTGGACTACAAAGTCCTAGAATGCTGGCTTTGGGGATTCTGGGTATTGCAGTCTACTTTAAAAAAACCTCACAACTTCTTCCAAGCTGTGGCACAGCTAAAGAGAACCCGCCGAAGGTGACCCAGGTTATAACTTGCATGTGGCATAATTAATGCACCAAACCTTTCACACCGAGGGCAACAGTTCATAATTCAAAGCTGGAGCATCAATCCAAGCTAGTATATCCAATGATGTGGGTGTGTTTGTGCATGGAGGCAAGTTGGAGGGGAAAGTGGTGGGTGGGGGAAAAGGGCTGCTTAACCCCTCGCCACTAGATTCTTCTGTTCATCTAACTCCAGGTTTTTTTCTGTCCTCTTTGCAACACACTAGATAAAAAGATTTAGGAAGAGGTCCTGTAACAGCTTAATTAAAAAACAACAACAGTTGATCCTGCTAGGACACCAAGACCAAAATCCTGTTCTTCAGTAGCCTGGACTATATAACCTTTAGAGAAACATTGTGGTCCATTAAGATAGCCTCATAGCCATTGTCTGTCACACACCAATTTGTACAACTCTATCTGTAATAGAGAACGTCTGTGGTGGTTTCTTAACTTACGACTGTTTGCTTCCAAACTGTAGGTCGTTGGGAGGAACTCTGCAGCAGGCTTTCAGCTGGTGTGTCTGGCTGAACCCTCAGTGTGAAAACCATAACTAAATAGGAAACACCAAAGGCCAGGCTCTGCCATAGACCCCCATTGAACCACACCTTCCCGCAACCTCTGTCACCCATTTCTTTGGTATACACGTTCCAGTGGGTTGCTCTATAACTGGCCCATTGCTTCCCACCGCCACCACGTCTGCCAAATATCAATTTTTCCCACTTTCCTTCTCACAGGATCAATCACGATCACAACCACCTCCCAAATTCTGCACTATGCATTGCTTTTCAGCACCTGCAACATGGCTTCTAATAATTTAGCATGGAGCATCCCCCCCCTTGAAGGCATCCCAGACCACTGAGCACCACCAGTCCACTTGCTGTGCACGTGTCTAGTGCTATTCCCTGTCCCACCATGACTGGTCCATCCTTGATCGCCTCTACAAAACACCCAACACCCTTGACTCTGGTCTGGATTGAAAGGGGGCCTTTTAAGAGCTAGCAGGGGCATCACCCACCTCTTCTGTACACAGGCCCATGTGCGGTGGGAAGAAACAGAACGACTTGATGGATTCCTTTTTCTTAAACACTAGTTTGGCTTTCTTCCTGGGGAAAGGGCGTGTGATCTTCAGAGCAACCCTTTCACTGCAAGGCCCTCACGCAACACGCTCTTTCCAAGCAGACAACAGCCCTTGTGATGCAAATCTGCATGTCATTTCCCCGGATCCCATACTATTTCTGAGAAGTAACTATGGCTGAAAATAGTGCCAGCATATAAAATGCATAGGGTTTGATGAATGTTGGAGGCTGGGCTATGCAAGGGGTTCAGATCAGGGGTGAGGAACGTAAAGCCAGGGCAGAATTTGACTCGCTCAGGGGTTCCTGATGCCATGCCCATTTTCAGGAATTTCCCAATCTGTAGCAAGGCTCCCTTGTTTAGCTCTCAGTAATAATTAAAGTACTGTACAGCGAAATGTTAATCTGCTGGTACAGTATTTTCATCGCCCATCTTTTTGCCTTTTTGTTCCTACCCTTGATTTAAATCATTCTGAGTTTTGCAGCACCACAATCTCTTTCAACATCTAAGGAATGGTTTTACCAGTGCCACCCACCCACCCACACCCAGTGAATTTCTTTGGATGAGAACAGACTTGAACCCAGGGCTCCTGAGCCCTAGCCTGTCACTCTATCCACTACACCAAACTGAGTTCTAGACAGACTAAAAATCAGGAGGACTGCGTTCAAATCCCTGCTCAGCCATGGAAGCTCACTGGGGGTTTGAAATTGTAAAACCACTCCTTAAATATTACACTTACCTTGAAAGCCCTATTAGGGTAGCGCTAAGACAGTTCCAACTGGACCACACATAGCAAGATATCATAGGTGGTAGCAGGACTTGAATCCCGCCAACCTAGCGGTTTGAAAGCATGCAAATGCGAGTAGATAAATAGGGACCACCTCGGTGGGAAGGTAAACAGCGTTCCGTGTCTAAATCAAACTGGCCATGTGACCACGGAAAGATTGTCTTTGGACAAAACGCTGGCTCTATGGCTTGAAGAGCAGGATGAGCGCCGCCCCCTAGAGTCAGACATGACTGGACAAAAATTGTCAAGGGGAACCTTTACCTTTACCTAGCAGGACTTGAAACCAGATGAAGTCTCAGCTCGGCCTCTGGACTCAATGTACAAATGTACAAAGGAAGGAAGGAAGGAAGGAAGGAAGTTGGCAACTCTAACCTCAGTAAAGCTGAATCCTGTTTTCGTCTGGACTTTACTGTAGCTGTCCAAGGTGCTGAAACTATTTGAAAAGGAAGGAAGGAAGGAAGGAAGGAAGGAAGGAAGGAAGGAAGGACGGAAGGAAGGAGCTAGTATCAGTTTAGAACTGCCTCCTTGGAAACTTCAGGGTTTGGGGGGACCAGCTATACCCTCTCAGGAAAACCTGCAGGTTGTACATTGAGACCACAAGGGTGGGCAAGCCAGACTTAATGGTCGGAAAAAAAAATAAGACAAAGAAAGGCAGAGTTCAGGCTGTTTGTTTTTCAATCCATTTTTTTTATGAAAAAGGATCACACATAATTCGGAAACAAACAGAATGCAAAAAAGGGGGGGGAAGGAATTGAAAACATTAAAATAAAAAAAAAGAACATAACGACAGCGGGTTGGGGAACAGGGACACAAAACCTGGCTCCTCTCCTCTCGATTGTCTGCAAATATCCTTGTGTTCCATAGAAGGCAATGGGCAGTTAAGTGCTTTCTATTTAACATTCACATAATTTTTTTCCCCTCTCTTTCTCTCGCTCTCTCTCTTTCTCTCTCTCTCTTTCTCGCTGTATCTTTTTTAAACATTTGTTCCCTCCGGCTGCTTCTCTAAGTCGAGTACACCGTTGGTATGCAAGCAACGCTCGGGCATTCTCCGGTTCCCCTGGCTTCTCTGCTTTACAGTCCTCACAATCCAACACAGAAAAATAAAAAATAAAAGAGTCTAAATGTCAGACTGTGTTTGCTTTTATAATTTCATAATTTTTTTCACAGTTTTTTTCTTTAAAAAAAAGTTTATATATTTATATATATATTTATATATTTATATTTTATATTTATAATTAAAAAGTTTGAATCTGTTTTGCTTTTCTTTTTTTTCCCTCTTCCATGTCCTTTCCTTTTTCCTTTGTTTTTGTTTGTGTGTGTGTTTTCTGTTTTTTTTTTTCCTTAAAGAAGATTATAATACAGAGGTGTGGGGGGCGGGGAGAGGGAAAGACGAAACTAGTCTTTCGGTACGTGAAAACTGTACAGAGTTGTTGCCCCAGAGTTAGGGGTGTGTGGTGGGTGGAAAGATTAAAACAAATGGTATCCATCAAAAGCTTCAGAAAAGGTGATCTGGGGTTAGAGAAGGCAGGCAGTATAAAGCAGCACCACTACGATTCTTGAAAAGTAAGGTGTAAAAAGGGAGAGAGGGGCATTTCTCCCGAGCTGTCCGTTCCTAGTACTCTTAGAACCACAGCAGATCATCAAATCTGTCCATGTAAGTAAAGGTTCCCCTCGTGGTAGTGCTGGAATGGTAACAATCCTGTTGTCGTGCCTTTGTAGTGTATGAGTTCGTTGGTTAAGTGCAAAATACAGAATCTTCTTAGTCTCCTCCTCCTTGTTGCCTTGCTCTGCCTCAACCCCATCCCGCAAACACCCAACATTCTCCCCACTCCAACGCAACCTCCATTTCTGGTCAGGCGTGTTCAGATTTGGGCTTCCGCCCGGCGCCCCGAGGGCCACGTCCGGAGCAATCGACCCCCGGCAGTCATGAGGAACGCTACGGACGAGCGGAGGATAAAGTGTCGTGGAAAGCGGGAAGCAGCCGATCAGTGACCGCCATGCTAGTGTTTCATCAAGTGTCATGTGGGCTTCCTCGCCCGCAGTCTTAAGTCCCCATGGGAGAGGGGGGGGGAACCCCAAGTTTCTGCAAATGTGTTCTTCATCTGTTTAAAAGTGGACCTGGTGAGGAAGAAGGGCGTGTGAAATGCATTTCGGTATTTCATCCTTTCTGAATATCCAGGAATCTTCTAAA